CCCTCTCCAGTGAGCTCGAGAGCACCCCTCTTGTATCTGAGAGTCTCACATCATGTACTTCTACCCTTCTTACTGAGTCTAGTCTGTTGGATCTGAGAGGAAGGCGGCAGGCGGGATTGCAACCCGTAGGACCGCATCAAGACTCTGTGGGGAGTCCACCCACCGATTGCGGGAGTTCTGCCAGAACCCAGGAGGAGTTATGGAGGCAGGGAACTGACAGGTAACCATTGCTTTCCTTCTATAAACCCAGATTATAGCCCCTATCTATATTTCCCATTGCATCGCTGACTGAATATATGAAGTCCAACCCTACCTTATTTTTGGTTTGACTTTCAGGACACTAAACAAGACTCAGTAAAGGAATCTCTGTTCAAGTTTCAGTTTTAACTTTATTGCTTGTGTGAATTCAAATTGTTGAAAAAAACTGCATCTGGGGGAAAGGCAGGATGGAGGGTTGTTTTGCTTGAAGGTTGACTGAGTCTTTAAGGCTGGGAGGTTCCCATAAGTTCGGGGAGACCCAGTGCTTTGTTTATTTTGGTTTGCATGGAGCGTCAGAACCTTCTATAAGTTTAGGGGGTCTGATTGCTCTGGAGGCTGGGATGTCCCCATAAGTTTGGGGAGACCTAGTGCTATGGTTTGGCATGGAGGGTCAGAGTGTTCTATAAGTTTAGGTGGCCTGACTGCTCTGACTTGTGAAAGGTCTGATTGTGCCTGATTTTCGGAGACTCGGGGCATTCAATAAGTTTTGGTGTCTTGGGTTGCCTTGTTTTCACTAGGGTTTTATTTGTTTCTTTGGTTTCTGAACGAGGAGGTCTGAGTTGTTCTATAAGTTTAAGTGGCTCAGCCTCTTCCTGCTTTTATTCTGAAGAAATAATCTTGGCAAAGGGCAGACCCTTCTGTAAGTTCAGGGGGTCTGACTCGATGCCACACACATGGTGATTCAGAGAGAAAAGAAATTGGCAGAGAGTTAGATCCTTCTGTAAGTTCAGGGGGTCTGGCTCAAAGCCTCACACATGCTGGAACCCAATGGTTATAACTTGGCTATATTTTACTACTACTCTATTTTAAGCACGAGCTAATCAGACTGTTCTATAAGTTTAGGTGGTCTGACTATAGCCTTTCATAACCTGAAGAGAGTATAACTAAGAATAAAATTGGTGGTAAACTGGGGCAGACTGAACTTAAGTTAGTTCAGTCATATGCAGCCTTAGAAGACAAAGGAGAAGACATGTATATATAACTTGGATATCTTAAACAGTTGAGGGCGACTAGAATGGTCTAGTCATGTGCCCAAAGAAGAGAAAAGTTGTTGTGCCCTGTGTTTGTGTATACTTTGGCTAAGTTGGGCTCATTCCATAAGTTTAGGTGGCCCGACTTTAGGCTTGGCTAAGGTAAGGTTCATTCCATAAGTTTGGGTGTCCTGACCTTATGCCTTATGTAAGTTGGGTACAAGGGATTAAATTATTGAAGGGTCATGAACTATTGCTTGCTCAAGTATACTTTGGGATGGTGAGAGTACTTACCTTTGTGGTCTGGCTTGCATGTGACTGAGTGAGGCCATCACTTAGTATGAGTTTCAGGTTGATAGGTAGTTGCTTTAGTTGCTCGCCACGTGCTAGAATTTTCTGGGATCTTTTCTGTATTTTCTATAGTAACTTTTTTTACTTAGGTAAATTCCTGCATTTTCTGCATTTTCTGCGTTTTCTGTAGTAACTTTTTTTACTTAGGTCAATTCTTGCATTTTCTGGGATCTTTTCTTGTACTTGGCTTTGTATAAATCTTGGCAAGCTACTTTCTTTACGGGAAGCGCTGCCAAAATTTCTACAAATCCAAGAAGTTTGTCAAATTGTGACTTGTCAAAAATTCAACTTTGTCTTTTCTTATATCTGACTTGGTAAAAATCTGGGAAGTCTCCTTTTCTAAAAGGAGTGCTGCCCAATTTTTTTGTTAATTCAGGATGTTAGACAAAATTGGACTTTGAGAAGTTGAAGTTACTTTCAAATTCTCGACTTAGCCTTGTATAAATTTTGGAATAACACTTTTCTGAAGGGAGTGTTGCCGAAATTTCTGCAAAACTAAGGAGTTAGTTAAATCTTATCTAAATTCAAGTTGTCTTTTAAAGTTCATGTCCGACTTAGTATAAATCTGGGAAGCCTCCCTTTCTAAAGGGAGTGTTGGCCAAATTTTTACTAATTCAGGGAGTTCGACTAAATTGGACTTTCCAAAATTAAAATTTAGTTCTGCTTTCATATTTGGACTTATATAAATTATGAAAAAACATTTTTCCTACGGGAAGTGCTGCCGAAATTTTCATAGTTAAAAAAAAATCGATTATATTTTGACAGGTGCCGATTTTGATAGTCCACTCTGAATGGGGGAGATTTTGCCATATTGCTTAGAGGTCGGCTAAGACATAATTAACTAGGATGATTTAGGTAATATCATGATATGAAGATTGTCCTCCATGAGCTTAGAGGTTCAGCCTGGGGCATTGACCTGTCATGTGTTACAGACCCTCTTGATCGTTCGATTCAAGATCCGGACTAGATTCAGCTTGATCCCTTGAGGATCATCATCTGTTATCATTGATAACAAGTCGGTTGCCGATTCGTCGGTCTATGACTCAATTCCAACTCACCCTCCACACTCAACCTAAAAGGTTTTAGCCCTGGTGATTTCATTGTTTCATTAAGGTTTCACCCGCACTTTTATTGAATGGTTATTTAACAAAGGTACTGAGTATTTAATTTAAGGTTGGTTGGACAGGAGGTTGGGGCTTGCATGGCTAAAGCGAGGGGCAGGAGTGCAAAAATTGGTTGGGGTTGACTCCGTGTAGTGCGTGGACTGTTGCTTGACTCTTTGATGTGATTGCAGGTATGTGCTGTGGCTTAGATCCTGGATTTGACTGCCTGCGAGCACATATATACGTATGGTTGTGAGGAACCCCACTGTGACTGTGAGGAGTGATCGCCACATACTTACCCCTTTATATATGTATACATGGATGTACTTGGGATGAATGTTTGTATAGGGCTAAGGGGCCCCGTACTGAAAAGCCTACTAAGAGGTTAAGACCGAGAGACATAAGGAATACCCTTCCTTTTATTTTGTTTTGCTTCTTGGGGGTTTTCTTAGTCGGACGTTGGTCCTGGGCCGGGATTCTAGGCCCTTTTCCAGGACATCCCAAGCCCTAGGCTTTGCAGGGGAGGGATTACCTCCTCGCACAGAGCCTATTTGCATTGCCCGTCGAGGCACCCCACCCTGAAGGCGGAAATGTCGCGAGGGCTGAACGGCATGTCCTTCAGCCGTTCAATATCGTGTGGGGTAACCCCTCACGATATATTCCTTCAACCATTCAATATCGCGAGGCCGGAGCCGCAGTTACCACATATGGTTAACATCGTTGGTTGGCATGAGACTGACCCGCAGCTTCGCGGCTTTATATTAGAATCTCGCGCGTGACATTTCGCCGCCCTAGTGTCTAACAGTTATGGGATCAAAAGAGACCCGCACATACGCGCGAACGCTTGGGATTACTACAGTCCGCTGACATTTCCCGAAAAGGGAAGAGTACCTCAAGGTTTTGTTTTCTTTTGGGGTAAAGGGGACCTTCGGCCTATTTGTGCTTTTTAAGATTTATAGTTGAACGTTGTAGTTCGTGGCAGCCGTCAAAGTCAAACCCCTTGACCTCTGCCCAGGCCTGGAGAGGGGCTCATCTCTTGGGCAGTAAGAAACGACTGCCACCATAGGTATGAACCTGTGTACCACCCGCTCTGCACAGAGTGCAGAAGAGGGTGTGTGGTCTTCAACCGCGCTTGTCGGTTGTCCAGCGTCGAGTGATTAACCCTCAAGGTGCGTGTTAGCCGACACTTGAGTGTTGAATGCGACCCTCGAGATTAACGAGAACCGCATGAGTATGGGTACTACATGGTACGCCATTATTGCGACTGCTTGCGTACGTTTGCATTGCTAGTCGATATGAGTAGGCCCTGCGTCCGCGCGGTTTTGTACTAAGTCTCGCGCGCGACGCCTATCCGATTTCCGCGTCGGAAAGTTATGGGACGGCTACCGAGGGGCTAGGAGCGTTGTCGCGTTGTTTGTATTGTGTCGTTCCGTATGTGTGCGTGTGTGTGTTTTATTTTTGGAGTGATGTGCGCGTGGTGTGTGGGATGCGTCCTAGTCGACCGACGACGTGCCGTGCTTGGGACTTCAGCCCCCCAAGATGACGGTTCGCGTGCGGGTCCGACAGAGGCGTATTACCGCGCGTACCCCCTATGCTACAGCGAACGAGAAATGCCATCGGCTGGTCCACCTCTGCGATTGCAACTGATTAGCTTTCGTACTGTGGACTGGTAGCTCGGCGGGGATACGCCCACCGAAGTGACAACTCCYGTAAGGTGRAGGTAAGTCGTGCCTCGCGTAGGCCCTATCCTGTCGTAGGGGCTCGCGAGAGGTATGGCTGGCGCACTCGGCCGGAGCGGCTTGCGGAAGCTCCACATGTATATTTGCGACGAAGGATTTAAACCAACTCCTGCGTGACACGGGCGGGGCTGTCTCTTATACACATCTAGATGTGTATACGTACCCCCTATGCTACAGCGAACGAGAAATGCCATCGGCTGGTCCACCTCTGCGATTGCAGCTGATTAGCTTTCGTACTGTGGACTGGTAGCTCGGCGGGGATACGCCCACCGAAGGGAGGTGACAGCTCCCGTAAGGTGGAGGTAAGTCGTGCCTCGCGTAGGCCCTATCCTGTCGTAGGGGCTCGCGAGAGGTATAGCTGGCGCACTCGGCCGGAGCGGCTTGCGGAAGCTCCACATGTATATTTGCGACGAAGGATTTAAACCAACTCCTGCGTGACGTGGCCAGGAGGGTCTCGCGCTGCCCTGGTGCGGTGTCGGACCGATGCGCTCAACAGGTGACGTCGTTGCCTGGGATAACGGGAGCCTACCGTTGTCCCTGGTGGAACGATATCCGGGTATGAGATTGAATGGGAATAGGCATAAAGGAATGACGAGAGGGTAAGGAAAATAATGAGTGACTAAGTATAGGTGAGGAAAGCTTAGTGACGTTGTATGTCCGTCTACCTACCTGAGTTAGGAAAGCTATGAGGGACGGTCGTATCAGCGTCAGGTAAGTATATAAGGAAGTAAAGAAGGACATACAAGATAGACCGCCTTTGAGATAGGATGCTGAATAGGTGAGTGTCCTTGTTTTTCTGCTAACAGGGAACTTGAAGGGAAAGGTCTGTCAAGATGCTGGAGAGCGGTGGTATATCGGATGACACTGGGAAGGTCCTGACGCTCGAGGACCTTATTGCGGCCATTGACCGGCATGAGAAGACTCCAAGCAATGTCCCTAAGGTCGACACCTTTCACTTTAATGGATAAAGAGTCTTAGACTGGCTGAATCGGGTGGAACAAGCAATGGTGGGACTAGCGGATGCGGTGAAATTCCAGCGAATTATGAGATATGTGCTTTATGGGCACCATCAGGAGGTGCAGAGGGTGGTCAATGACGCCAACGACAATTGGGCTAGGTTTAGAGAGGGAATGCAAAGGAAGTTCAGGCTGGGCAATGGCCTGCTAACCACGGTGGACCTGGAGGCAATGAACAAAGATAACTACACTACGATAGGGGCCTTTGTACAACAATTTATGAAGAGGGCAAGGAAGGTCCACGGGATCTCAGAGGAGACGCAGTGTGCCGTCGTTCTGGGACTACTTACTGCGTCGGAGGCCCAAGAATTGACAAGTCATGGAGGAGGGAGTGCTAAGCTCACATGGGCCACCATTGACAAAGGAGTGGAAGATGGGAGCTTAGACCAGGTGGAGCAACAATAGGTACAGCTGCAAAGACAGAAGAGAAAGGAGAGGGATGCTACAACATCCAGAACTCCAGGGGTAAGAAAGATTATTACCGACATATTAACAGAGTTAGACCCGGTGTGAGGAAACCCGGGGAGGGGTCGCCTACCACTCGCTGAAGCCAAGGGCAACGGCGCCTGTCACTCGCCGCGACCGCTTCCGAGGTCCTCAGCGACCAGGGCGGTTTGGGGCTTGTGCTGCCTGTCACGCGCCCACTTAGAGCTTGAGTCTGAAGGCTCAGACCATACACTAAAAAAAAAAAAAGGGGAACAAAAGAGGACTGCAGTCCCGCGAATATGAGATCTGTGTCGAGGACCTCATGGGAACCGTCTCAGATACTGAGGGATATAATCTGCAATTTGTCTGTCCGTGGTGCAGGAAGAAGTTTCGTCTGAACAACAGATTCGCCCCGCAGGCAGGGCACCTGTGAAACTGGGTTTAAACCTTCGGGGTCCATCCGCAATTTAGTTCAAACAAAATGCGGCCATGTCTCCCCCAAAGATTTAACCTCAGCGAAAACTCAGTGGGAGTAATCTCTCTAGAATTCAAGAAATATTTCAGGGATCACCTCGACATACCTCCCCCTTTACTTCAACCCCATGCTGGTTTTATGTAATGCCAATGGTTTTTACCCCTGGAAAACCCACAGCCAATGGTCGAACTCCCAGCAAACGCTGAGCATTGGGTCGTTACACTCCTAAGGGTATTGACGCTATGATATCAAAGGAACGCTTCTGGTTCCCGCTCCAACTGAAGCTTCCTTTTTCAACAGAAATAGAGTGACAGAACCAAGGGGCGGCATATAATAATAAAATTATTATAAAACTATATATGTTATAATATGTATATGAAATTCTAGTGGACGGAAAAATATCAGGAGACAACTTCCTGCAGCTAATTAACAGCTGAATGATGGTGGAGAGACGTTTCACCATAGAGCCTCATCGGTACCGTCTGATTGAGAAAACCATAACAGTCTCCACCATAACAGTCTCCTTCAGCCGTTACCCTGTTGCACTTCCTGTAGAGCATGCTGGTGACAATTTTTCCCTTTTCGTTTTACTTCGTTATGTTCAAATGTTCGAACCATCAAGATCCGAACGGTCAAATCACTCATGTTGAAGGCTTATTGGGCCGTGCATGGTCTGATCTTTAATTAGGAGTTTGTGTTGAGAGAGATGACCCTTAATCGAAAGGGGGGG